GGTACAAGCTATGTTGAAGCTTATCGAACTCAAAAATGCTATACATTTGTAAAACAAGGGTTATGGCAACTACAACGATTTTGCAGATCAGTAAATTATAATACTGATTCTATAATATTATTGAAACCAGTACAGTTCGATCATATTTTGTACCGATTTTATTAAAGTATTTTTTTTTAATAATAAGAAGCTTTGACAAATGCAAAATCAATCACATTAATATCATTGAGATCATTAACATAGGGTAGTATTGTACACGGACGTTGTTCCGGTGATTTTTGGCAGACACAGGACGTCCAAAAGTCCATGTCTAGGACTTGGACCAATACTAGATATTTTTTGGCCAGAATTAACAAGAGATATGGCCAGCATTAATACGGACAAAAAGTCCCAGACATAAATAAATCTTGGACATAGACATGGACAGTCCGGTCCATGTCTGTGTCCACGTCCCATGACAATACTGACATAGGGTATATAGAAAATTGGGTAGAAAACCGATACAGTACAATAATAGAAAGTATCGTACTATACCGTACTGGTCCTATATATTATAGGACCAGTACAATATGGTACAGTACTTTGTCCAAATTTTGATCGTACCGTACTGGATTCAATAATATTATAGAACCATTATTCTGATCTGCAAAATCAAATGTTATTCGGGATTTGCTGGGTTCTATCAAAATCGAACTAATCAAAAATCAAATAAAAAGATCGAATCTTGAGATTTGATTAATCGCGATATATTGATTCTTTATTCCCGTGAAAATAAAACAAGCTAGTTTGCAAAGTAAGCAATCAATCATCAATATACGCTTACTCAAATACTTATAAATATTTTTCAAATAAACATTGGCTTTTAAATAGAATAATCGAAATAATCAATTGTCGTTGATTCTCAAATAATATCTTCACAATTTAGCCAATTTGCTAATAAAATAACAAGTTTTAGGCAATTTATACGGTTGAACCAAATTTAATAATTAAATTTTAAATGTTTCAAAAAGTCAAATAGTACGAAACCTAGCCAAAAAATTGCTTCAGCTCTTATAATAAACATACATCTCTACTATCACTTGCAATTCTTGATTAACAACATTTACACCATTATTACCTTAGAAAATCAAATTCGTCCGTTATGGACAATTGAATATAAACGTCAAATATATTCTAATTTTTGTTATATACTTAACAAATTGAAAACTTTCTCTGATTTGCCGTATTATTTATAGCATGACGTTTCACGCATTAGAGAAATGAAGGTTAACGTCAATTTGTTGAAAATATTCTAATTTTTAGCATGAAAATTTATTGAAATTGATGTCAGTCATGTGACGGCAATCGAAGTTTTATTAAAAAATATTCAAATTAAAACTTTGAATCACAACTTTTTTTCAAGGAATCACAGAAAATCACAAAAAACACATGGAAGAAAAATAGGAATCACAGTTGTTTTACCATAGTAAAAGTTGTTCTTTGACTCATAAAAAGTAACAATATAAGTGAACATTTGAGGTGGAATGTAGTATATTTGTATTATAATAGTATTGAAATCGAAGGTGATGTAGAATAGAATGTTGATAATTAATCTGAAATTGAAGAATCTGAAGATGGACACATGAAATTTCATTTAAAATTAGTAATTAGAAAGAGGGTAAAACAGTGCAGCAAAATGAGAAACTTTATTTATCAAACTAAATCAATTGTAAGGTTCATTACGCGTAATGATGTTCATGTAACGTTTCGTGATGATATTCGTGTAATGTTAATACAGATTTATTTTATATCAGAAATATTCAATACATTTTTTATCATTTACTTATTTTTTTTTGTTCAAAAAATCTAATTATAAAAATAAATATTGGCAAAAATAGTAATTCAAGTTCATTCAAAAATAGTTTATTACAATAAAAGCTTAATTATTTTTGAATAACAAATAACTTTATTCAAGGAAAAAAAAAAAAAGCATTGCTTTTCATACTAATGAAAAAGTTGCTTTTATGTATCATTTAAATATGTAAAATTTAAGTATTTTATATTAAATTTTAGTAACTCAAAGTGAAGATTTATTGATCAAAAGAACTTGAGATAAAAATATAAAACAAAAGATAGTAGAATACCTTAAATGCCTATCAGGAAAATTTTTATTAAAGAAGGTGTTAAAAAAATCCTACAATTTATTTGATGATAATAAACACATTATTATCAAAATTGTCAAAAATTAATAATTTTGCACGTTTTAGTAATAGAATCAAATTAAAAAAATATATTATTACATCAATACATATTAATATTTCCCAAAAAGTAATAAAAAATTGACCAAAAAATTTAATAAAAATTTCTTAAGTTATATAATATCATATAATTCATGAATAGTCTTACCTTTTTTTTTAATTTAGAGGAAGTTGATGAATAACTAGCCTATTTCAATTGAAATCAAATAATAAATCTTAATAATTTTTAGATAGTAATAATATTAGTTGTAAAAAATATTAGCTTTTTTAGTTAATTTAATCATTAAATCTCTTATTTAAAATAAGTGATCATAATTGTATTATTAATTTCTTTATAAAGTGTAATGAACTTTGACTCAGTAATTAAGCTGTGGGTCTTCTATAGTAAAAGGTTTCATTATATAACTATAGGCTATCAATTTAGGTCTTAGCTAAAATATAAACAGTATAATCTTCATAAGAATTTTGTTATAATTAAATTGATAAGCATATGTATTAATATACATATAAATCTGGTTGATTAATCTATAGATCAATGTTGATTATACCTAAATACAGCATTTTATTAGAATATGTAGATGTAAATGAAGATAGAGATTAATAAAATTTAGCTTTTATAAATTAGTTTATAATAGATATAATCTTATATCTCATATGTAAGGATCCTTAATGAAATTTAAGAAATTGATTGACTAGAATTTAGTAGATTAGATCAATAGTAATAATAAACAGTATTTGATACTATAGTATTATCTAATTAAGCTATTATTAAGGATAAATATCAGGTTTAATTTTTGGATTATTTGACAAAGTGGATAAAATAATCATCTCAATAGTTCACTATTTAGGCAAATCTTATAGTATTATTTCATAAATTCTGTAAAATTAGTTAAATAAAATATAGGATGTGACATTTCTATATGATCTGAAGTGATCATTCTATTTAAATTTGGTAAAATCCAAGCTACTAGAATTATATATGCAAAATGTCTTCTCAAAAGAATATATAGGATCTATCCTAGAAATATATCCTTAGTAAGACAACACAATATAAAGTAATTGTAAGTAAATAGTTATCTTATTAAGGCTTAAGTACTCAATATTGAAACCTTAAAAGCTACATCTTAATATTGAGTATTAAAAAAGATGGGCTAATACTATCAGATATTACTTAAAATTATGCATCACTTGCAAAAAAAAATTATTAATTTCTTCATATTTAACAAAAGTTTTTATAAAATAATTAATATTGCAAAAAAGAAAACAAATCTAATTTTTCATCATAAATAAAGTTATTAGAATCTACTTAATCTACTTTGACTAAAAAATTAAACTTTTATTTAACTGAAAATTTTATAATATTCTGAAATTATATCAAATTTATAATAATGACTTATTTATAAAAAATTGTTGAAATTAACTTTATTAATTTTTGCAGAACTAATTCTACCTTTGACTCTAATCTAACTCTACAGCTGGTATTATTTTCTAAAAATAATAATTGTATTACAAAGCAAATTAATTATATAATGCATTCTTTATCTTTTATACTTAATAATACTTAAATATTAATTTTATATTTAAAAGAATTTATTAATTTTTCTTTTTAATGGAAAATTTCTAGAAAAATGGATTCTAAAAATTTTTTAATAAAATTTTAATTTTTTTATAGCATTTTAATTTTTGATAATATTAGATTAAAATGCAATAAGAATTAAATTTTAGTTAAAAAATTCTTAAAATCCATTTTCTTAACAAAACTTCCATATGTTTAATAATTTTATTAACTATTAAATTGGTTTTTCAAAGTTAAGATTTTTATGTTACTTATAATGATTTTAAAAAAAAAGTAACAAATATATAAAAATAATTGCTTTTTCTATTCTAATAAAATCATTTAACTAACTTATTACATATTTTTCTGTAAAAAAATAAACAATTTATTTTTTATTATATGTTGTTATGAATTTACACATTTATTTTACAAATTATTCTGAAACAAAATAAGATTAAATCTTATAAAATTTTATAGTTATAAAGGTTAGGGTTCCGCAATTTGATTTGATATTTGGATATTTGATTTGAAAATTAAATCAAATACAAATACAAATTTATATTTGATTCGATTCGATCAAATTCAAATCAAAGAATCATTTATTTGATCAAA